TGCTCCTGAGTCAGAGTACCAGACCTGGGTAGAAATAGATGCTAGGTACCAGCAGACCATGTCTACCATAGCATCCTCTCAGCTACGGTCACTGACTCAGGGATGGGGCTCCATGACTCATCAGAAAAAAATAAGAAACATTTTCAGGATTTTACTAGGACTTGAAAAAGGGCTTGAAACTGAGTTAATAGAAGCATGGAGCTGCTTGAAAAGACACAATCCTGAGTTTGCTTATTCCTAAGAACCACAAGCTTCACCACAAGCTGGCATTTATTAAGCACTTATTATATATCAGACCACTTTTATATGAAAATTATGTCGTAGATGTAGTGACAGGAATCCTATGCAGTAGATAATATCATCCCTGTTTGCAGTAGACATGGAGGTGAGCCCCCACGATCCCTCTTCGAGAAAGGACTTGGCCTAGCTGTGAGAAGCCTAAGTAGACAGCTTTTTGCCCTCAAATGCAGGCCCTTTGACTCCACACAGAGCAACTTAATGGCTCGCTTTAGCTTCAGAGCTCCCCGTGGGATTGGCACGGGGTTCTCCTCTGTCCACTCACACTTCTCTCCCCTTCCCTCCCTTCCCCAGAGACTGGTTCCATGGACATAACACCCTCAGCAATGTCCCTAAAGAACCTCCAGCACAGTTAACTCCAGGTCAGCATCTACCTTCCTACAAACACTGCCAGCACCACTTTACCGGTAGAATAATAAAGCGGGAGACCCCGGGCTCAACTCGTCGCTTGGCATGGGCCCCGGGGGCTGAGACAGCTGACGTATGTGAATGTTGCGAAACCACCAAGGCGGATCTGGGGTTTGGGGCTGGACTCTGGACCGTGTCTCTCGGAAGAAAGACTGGGAAGACTTCCAGGGGAAGCCAAGGGAGCCTGGCGATGCCCAGCAGGAGCCCCACCTCTACTGAAAGCGACCGAGGTCCAGTCCATTAGCGACTGTGCAGTGGGCAGGGTAAGAGGAGGCGGTGGCACACAGACCCTGCAGCAGCAAACCACAGGAGACTCTCTCATTCTCGCCAACTCAAAGCCTCTGCTAAGAATGGCAGCAAAAAAATAAAGAACCTGGGCATCTTAGCAAATGGTCAACTGCAGAAAGAGCACCTTTCAAGTTCAATTCCTGTTTTTCTTTTGGCCTTCTATGTTTCCGTTGTGCAGAGTTCATGTTAATTAAAATTACTTCCGGTGAGCAGTATAGGAAGACTGATTTACACAATTGTTTGCCATCATCACCTCCTGTGTGGTCTTTTGAAACATTATTGTATATTTGAAGCTACTGTGATTTTTTAATTGCATTTGAAAGAATTCTTTGTGGGTCATTGCGACACAACAGGGTGATACCTACCAAACAATGAATAAATAAAACATTCTATGGGAGAAATTTATCAAGTGAGTCCTCGGGTTGCATTCATTTATCAAGTCATGGACCACACAAGAAAAGAATGTATAATTTCAAAATGTTTATAAGCATATAATTTAAGATTAGTAGGAATAGTGAACGGACTTCCAAAGGAAGGAGAATGTGTAGGAGATAAAACTGTATAAAAAAAAAGGAAGTAACCACTGAATGACTGAAGAATAAAATGCTAAAGATTGGCACAAAGATGCCCGGCATGCTAACATCCATCTGAAACCCACTTTTTAGCAAAAGTACTTTAATTGTTTATACCGGGAGATATTTATTAAGAATGTATCTCTATGTTTATGATCAAAGTCCAAAAAATAAATATAAGAGCTGTTTACAGATATTCCCTAATCATACCACATGGATGAAACCCATCCAGTCCATGGGAAGTGGGGCTGCAGAATAAGCTCTAAATTTCTCTTTCTTGTTACTCTTAAAGATCTCCTTTTATTGTTCAAATAAGTTATTTAAAAAGTATACACCCATCTCAGCATTTTAAAGATGCTATTTTCTATGTTGGGCTTTGGGGGTTTGTGTTTTGGTGGAGAGCGGTGGGGGAGGGAGAGACATGGAAGAGGAGCTGGGCCTCCAGCCTATCGTCCTAAATATGAAAAAGCAGACGGAAGTAAAGACAAGACAGAGACCAGAAACAGCCACGCGCCTCAGCTCCAGCGCGGGCTGCCCAAAGTAGGGCCAGAGCTACACGAGGGGGAAGGCAGACAGACTGGGCTGTGAGCTGCCACAATCAATGACAGAGAACAATGAGATTACCCACAGCAAACGATACCCAGAGATAATTCAGTTTGTCCATGTTGCTACTAATAAGCCTCCATTGCAGTTTGATATGTGAGGGAAAACCCAACCTCGTCTGTAAGAGGATCAATCAAGCCTAGAAGCTACCGTTTGCATCAGCTTCGGAGCACTGACCTACCCAGAGACTGAAAGAGCTAAAGGCTTGGGAGCCCCCCACCCCCAGGCCTTGTCTTTATGTGAAATCATGAAATAGGTCCCTAAGTGAGATGCTAGGTGTGCTGAACACAGTGTCTCCTGAGAGACGGGCTCGTGGGAGCTCAAAGGAACCACAATGTGTGGCTCAGAGCCCAGCCCGTCCGGCTTTGGGAGGTCACGGAGACTCCTGGCTCCACCTGCGCCGGTCACCGTCTGAGCTCTGTCCGGAATAAATGAATTCCATCAGGCCAGTTGCTCTTGGATCTGCAGCGTTTATGTGACCCATCTCATTTAACACAAGCTCCTGCCCCGCCCAGGAAGAGCTGCAGCCCACCCCCTGGCAGCTGCTTCCACTAAGGGATTTCCAAAGAGTTCAAAGGAGATACACAGGTCATTTCACTTTGTTCAGTTGCTATTTAGTCTGATGTCTTGTGAGAAAGAAAATTGTGAAATCGTTCTACCAGTAGAAACTTATATAACAATCAGCATTAATGGGAATATCCTTAGCAACTTCACAGAGCAAACAGAATGCTCTTTAGACAAGTAGCCAATGGGAGTCATTCAGTTAATGTTCAAGGGCCATTTCCACTACAACTCTGCCCCTTGCATCCTTATTCTGCAACCCCTCAGGCAGGTTGAGTTCAGTTGTTCCTGGTTCATCTTTACCTCCGACACAGTAACTAGTCCCAGCAAGCACTGTGGAGCACAGAAATCACATATGACACTTACTAATATCTCCTGTACATGAGACATGGGGGTCGGAGCAGGAGCAAGTGAGATTACAGCTTCTTTGGGAAATCAACAATATGAGCTCAAGGCTGTGTGGGGAGTTGATTTGTACACACCTGGTGACGCAGATCAAGGGAAATGTCACTCCATGCCAAAGGCCTCTCTACAGAGCAGACAGCCTTCCGGAGGGGCCGACGGCTGCGTAATTGGAACACATGAATGTAGGATAAAATAATCCTGGAAATAAGAGGTCTCCATGAGCCCTTAATATGGGATAGGGTCACCCTTCTTGGAGATGGAGCTTCTGTGTCTTGTGGAGGGAAAGCCACTTTACAAGATGGCACCAGAATAGCCAGTTATCAAAAGAGCCATTACAAAACTGTCAACCCATGGGATTCACTGCTCTTACAGAGTGGTTGCCAGCCCACTCGCCCCTCGGGAAAAGATGGGGGAAGCGAGCTGTGGAGACGCTTTGAAAATGTGGAATTACTGTTTGGGTGACAATAAGAAAAAGAGGGGGTGCAGAGGGAGCACGGAAGGGGTGGGGGTGCTTTCTGGAGAAAAACGCAAAGCAAGTTAAAAATCAAAGGAAGGAGGAGGTGGTTGTCCAAGGTTGGACAAAGTCAACTTTAAAGGCAACCTGGCTTATGCATGAAAAAGGCCACAGTGCCTTTCTCTGTCTCCAGTGCCACCGGCGACAGCAGGGTGGGATGGGTGCTGCAGGAGTGGGGACCCGGTTCCAGGAACAGTGGACTGGGCGGACTGCGTGGAGCAGCGGGCAGGGCCCTGGTGGGCGCACGCTAAGCCCGGGGGCGCAGGCCCTTGCCTCCCACCCAGCGCGCCGCTGCTCCCCCTCCCGGCCACGTGGCCAGTGCGCGCTCCAGAGCCGGGGTCCCGGGCTAACTCTCCATTTCATCCCAGTGGCAAACTGTAAGGAGACCCCCTTCTGTCCTGGTATCGCAAAACCTTAAAGCAGGAGCCCCTCCAATCAGCTGATAAACACTGACCCCCGAGCTAAGGCTCTTACGTGCTTTCCAGGTTTTTCTCTGGAAATTACTTAATTAGTGACATGGAGATAAAGGTGGGGATCGGATGGCTAAACCCGAAGATTCCCCCACGTTTCCAGTTTCTTACGGGATTCGGGGGGAGGGGGGTGCGACTCGGTTGTTTCCGTGCCGGCTCGAGTTTGGGGAGGGGTCGGTGGAGTGCCACCCCTTCCCCTACTGGGAGGCGCGGCGAGACAAGGAAGGTGAGGACGGGCTGCGCGAAGGCGTCCCCGGGTCTCGGGCTGCCTCGCTCCCCGCCCCCGCCCCCGCCCCCGCCTCTCTGGAAGGTACCCTGTGTGGCCGCCGTTCTCCAGCGCGCGGCGCTGCGCTCGCTTTTATCTTCCGAACCACGCTGGCTCCTGCGCGGACAGCGGGGCTCAGCCAGTCAGTCGGCTGGAATTGAGTAGCATTCCCCGAATCTGCGGCTTTCATGACGTCTCCCTGCGTGGTCCATCACTTTTCTCCCAGCCGGGGATTTTTTTTTCCGCCACTCTTGCCGCTTGCCTCTTCTCTCCACCCGGTCTCCCTCCCCCGCCCCGGCCCTAGCGCACACCGCCCCCTGCCCCTCCTCCGGCCCCGGCGCGCAGCCCTCCTCCCAGCGCCCGGCCCGAGGGAGCCGGCGGAGACGGCCGCACCTGCCGGAGAGGGCGGGCGGGCGGCGGGGCGGGATCCGCGGGCACTGGGAAGCGAGACCCAGAGCCGGGTGCGCCGCGAGGAGGATGGAGTCTCTTGACAGCCTCCGGGGGCTGCTGCTGTGAAATTTGACCATCTGATTCCAGTTGTTTTTTTTTTTCTTTTCTTCTTCTTCTTCTTTTTTTTTTTTTTTTAATTTTCCTCCCCGCGCTCTCCATCGTGTAGCCAATTATTAAATCTTGCTCCATTCCAAGAGAGGAGATCATGATTGAGTGAAGCCACCGGCCCGCAGCAAGGTAAGCGGCGCGCCGACTTCTTCGGAGGTGCGGCGCGGGCGTCCATCTGGCCAGGCGTCCGGCGCCCTCGCGCCCCACCTCCCCGTCCCCGGGCGCCGCGGCCGCCGCGTGCCGCCGCGCTCCGCCGCCGAGGAGCAGGGTGCCCAAGTCCGGGGCAGGGAGCAGCCGGTTACATAACGGGAGGGAAATCTGTTCCCCACGGTTCTCCTGAGCAACTGAAAACTCGCAGGGCGGTGGGGAGGAGAGGAGGGGTCTGCAAGCCCCGGGCGCGGAGACACCCGCCCCGTCAGGCGTCGCGGACCGCGTTTCCGCGGCGCGGGCCCGGACGGCGGGCTCTCAGGCGCGGCAGGGGCGGCTCGCGCCGCGGTCGGTTACAGTTGGGGAAAGCCCATTGTCTCCGTGGAAAGCTTGTCCGTGCTCTTTGCTTGGAGCGAGAGAGGGAGAGAGGGAGAGAGAGAGGAAGAGGGGGAGCTAGGGGTGGGGGAGAGGACGGAAAACAATAACTCCTGTTTTCTATCCGTAAAGCCAGAAATGTGCCGTGACTGTAAACAGTGAATGAGAAGCTCTCCCTGTAAGTCAACCGAATTATTTCGCAATGGAAAGGCGGGGGGGAGCCTTCAGATGAAACGAGATTTGTATGGCATTTAGGGGGTTGGATGCATCCGCCGACTTGCTTCCTCCTGGGATATTTCCATTTGCATCCAAACAGTAAGCTTGGGCTGGTTGCACCAGAAATAACGTTGGTATTCCCAAAACCCGGTCGTACCTTGGGTCGATCCACAGGTCTGTCTCTTGTACCTGGCTCAATATGGAGAGACTCTTGGGGAGGAAACCTATTTTAATAGAAACAGCCACAGAAACAGGGTGAGGTGAGTGGAGAAACAGAATACCAGAATTTTCCAAAGAATCCCGCCTCCACTCCTAAATATGGAAGTGGGGGAGGGGGGCTTGTGTTTGGGAGTTGGGGATTTATTATATGTTTGGGGTGTCTCCTGCCTGCCATTACCCAAACTCGGATGGTCCGAGGGAGCTCACGCAGGAGAAGGTGCAGTGCCACATTCCTGCTCTCCCCGGTCCCTGCCCGCCTTTCTTCTGCGGAAAACGGAGGAACGGGGTGCCCAGAAGCCGCTGAGAAAGAGAAAGGGGCTCGCCACCGTCACGGCTGAGCTAACTAAGCTTCGCCCATTTTGCCTGAAGAAAGAGAAAAAGAGCCCGAGTCTCCATGGCGACTCAGGTGGGAGGGGAGAAGGCAGCTCCAGTTACCAAAATAATGTATATTTTTAAAAAACCCGTTGGACAAAACTTTCCCAGCTCCGGGAAAGAAACAAGCCAGCCGCGTGCCCCATGGAGGGTCCCAGGGCGCCGGCTCTTCCCAACTTCCAGCCCGCGACCTTGGAGGGGGCGCCTAGAACCGGCCGGCGCCGCGCAAACCTAGCGCAGTTGCCCGGAGCCGGCGAGGGCCCGGGTCCGGGTTCAGGACCAAGGCCAGAGCTCGCGCGCCGGGCTCCCGGCTCCCGGGGCCCCGACTCCCGGGCCGCACGCAGCCCCGGCGCGTGGCTCTCGCTCTTAGGTCGCGGGAAGTCAGGCACTTTATGCACAGGACTGACGCCCCGGCCCGTGCAGGATCTGGATGCCTGATCCTCCGCGGGATTGCGTGGGACAGGGAAGCTTGCAAATCATCCACTTCACGCATGGCGGTGCATCAGAATAGCTATTCTAAATCAAGGCCACGGAAACAGCAAACCATCAGAGGTGCACGGAGAATGGAGAGAATCCGGTCCTTGGGGGAGAAAAGGGGGGGGGGGGAGGAGAGAGAGAGAGAGAGAGAGAGAGAGAGATCACAGAGCAGTCCCTGAGGACAGTTTTTTAGTTTCAGGCTTTGACTTCTAACGCGTCCATTCATTCTTCACCCTCTGGCTGTCCTCTCTCCAACTTTTGGTCGGGGGTAGATGGCGGAAAGGCGCTGTGGTCGGCGAGACGCCAGCCAGCCGAGGCCTGTCCGGGATCCTGAGACCCACCTGGGAAGGTGGAGGAATAGATTGCTCTGAGCCTGGACCTGGCAGACTCCTCAGCAGGAGCTCCAGGAGGCGGTGGCAAGCCAGTGTGTGACCAGAGTGGCTACATTGACAAGGTAGCAGTCCTAGGAAACTGAGAGCAGGACTCATTTTTTATAAGAGAAACAAGGAAGAAACTGCAAGAGGGGGCAGTCGATTATCATTCGAGTTCCATGCGAGGGGACTCAGGTGAGTTTCTGCTGTATCCTGCCTTCCACGCAGGCAGGGCTGGTCTCTGCCCTGCTCTCCCTGCCTGTGGTCGTAGGTCCAGGACTCCCACCCACAAGCTGGTACTGATAAGGAGAATAGTAGGGAAGGTGACAGTCACCTTTCAAGTGGGAAGTTTTTTAAAGTGGCAATCAGGTGTCGCAGGCACAGTTTGAATTGCAGAGCCCAGTTGAGGTTTGGCAGCTGGTTGGAAATGCTAATAAAGCCTCTAGAACATCCCTGGAGGTTTTTCTCTTTTGAGGATCCCCTTATGCATCTGTGGTCTTGAGCTGGTTCTGCTTTGTTATTTTTGAGGGTAAACAAGCTACATCTTGGTTTTCCTTGCCGGGCATGTGGTTGCTTTCTGAAGAGGATGTGCGCAGAGCACTCCAGACTTGGTGAAACGGGTGTGTTTATGCCTTCTGGTCTTTTTTTTTTTTTTTCCATGATCGTTGGTGAAGGCCAAAGCAATGTAGCACTCTATCGCAAAGCTGGGCAAAGGGTAAGATAGTACACTCTTGTTTACATTTCAGTTTCTGATGGATATGAACACGTTTATCTCTGGTTTAATGTATAAAGTTGTTGCTAGAGAGAAGCGATGTATAATGTTATGACTTAAAGCAGCTGTATGCTGGCTTTGCGCCGTCTGACGTTATCAGCAGGAGAGACCTCGGGATGACTTGTGAAGATAAAGCCATACAAGAATATGGGTTATTAGAGAAACAAAGGAATGCGCTTGTGAGTTTTTTATCTTCAATTTCTCTCATGAATTAAAACACAAACATGAGGATGTCAATCTAGGTAGAGGACATGGCTCAACCAATAATCTTCAGTTCTGGTAGAGTCCAGGCTCGTGTATTCAGTGTTAATTTACCAAACTATGACTTGCTTTCTTCCTTGGTGGTTAATTGCTGAGCAGAGTGTCATTATGTCCTTATGGAAGTCAATAGCACACTTCAAAATAATTGGTTTACCCATTTCAAGTCAGGTTTATTGAAGAGAGCAGCTTAAAATTTATTCCTGTGCACTTGGAGCCATTTTGTAATTTGTGTAAAAATGTAATAGCTCACACTGGTATTTCCTAAACATCAGTAAGTAACATATTCACTTGTATGATCCAGGTCTTTGTTTGCTACGTAGGACTTACATTGGCTGTTTCCTTTCTATATACAAAAATGTTTGAATTTGTTTTCACATTCCTCCCTGTCTTCTCACAAACTATCTGTACTTTACAAGATAAGAAGAAAATAAGAAATGAGAATAGCTGTTTAATGAAGAATAAGAAAAATTATTGGAGATTAAAAATAACTAACTATAGCTTTATGGAAGCTGAACCCCATTGACTGATTTTCACAAGTAAAAAGTGTTACTTCCCTCAGGGGTTGAATGTTGATCATATGAATCTTCATGAAAACAAAGATAAACCCTCTTAATCAAAATGAGCAGGTGGGCAATGGGAAGCTCTTCTCTTTTTCATTAATTTTTACTTAATCAAATGATATGTAGGTTAATAAAGGAAATGGACCAGGAAGAGTCAGAATAAGGCAAAGGAAGGAAGCTAAGGAAAAGGCAGTTATTTAGTTGTACCAGATTTTAAATGATGATATTTTTAAAAGCTGGGCTTTTTAAAACAAATTCGTTGTATCAAAACTTTATGGTTGGTGAAATTAAGATTTTTAAATTGAATAACTATGAATGTATAGCTTATTAAGGGGGCACTTATTGTTTATTTCCTTCATTTTTAATAATGTTATTCAAGTACCAAAAGAAAATTGATTCATCTGGATATTTACAAAATTATTAAATTTATAATATCAATAAAGGGGGAATTGGTAATTAAGATGAAAAATCATCGAGACACCGTTGTTGAATTAAGGTTTTCTTTTCAGTTGTAGTTAAAGCGTTCAGGGAGATAAAAAAATAAAATGAAGTCTTTGAGGATAAAAATATATTTTTAAATGTATTTTAAATAAATAGTTCTGGAAATAATTAGGATCCTGTAGGAAAAGAGGAGATTGTTATAATTGCAGTCCGAGCTCTACTGGTATCTGACTCTCGTCTGACAAAACACTATAATAAAAAACCTGTAATGTATACGTATTTGGTATCATTTTACTAGCTCTCATTAGTAACAAAGTTACTTTCCTCAGTTGAAGAAAGACAAAGTCATCTTAAAAAGAAGGTTTGGTATTCCCTGTACTGTAGCCTTGCTCGGTCTCACATTTCTTATTTCCTCTCTGTGGTTGTGCTTAGGACCAGGGATCTACAGTATACAGCTATATTGTAAGGTAGTTCTTTCAGTGATCAGATTCTGGCTAATATTCATCACCATTGATACTCCCTGTCAAAGGGATGTGGTTTCTAGTTTGAAAACTTGACAAAATGAGCCAGCAAGTGAACCTGTGGATGAAAAGATCCACATCATTGCCAACAATTGTTTTGTGGGACTAAGTCTGAACATGTTATATGCAGTGTGAGAGCCAGATCTTTGTATGCAGTTTGAATCCTGGTGCTGTGGCAGTCTCCCCTTTAATTTACAGGTTTCCAGGTATCCCCCTTTTTGTACCCAGAATGAGAATTGATTTATTTTAAATGGTGCTTTATATTTTTCTCATATCTTCTAACAGGAATGTGTGCAAGTAGAACAGGTGCTTGGGAGGTGCGGCTGGGTGCACGGGCTCAGGTGTCTATGTAAGTGCATTAACGTCGAACTCTAAGTATATTCATCGGCATTCACAA